TGTTCGTTGAGGTTTGCTGCTTAAAATAAATAGGTTTTCCTTCGGGTCTGGGACTTTGGTCCTTGAAGTCCTGCATGGAGGAGGTGGGGAGAGCAACGGCCCCATGAGGGGAAAAATGCAGCCCAAGAGTAAATATATGTAAGTTCCGCTGTTTCTTCTGTCTTCCTGGTAAGCCTAGGTGTGCGGGGCGAGACCTCTGGAGGCAGGATGGCAAAACCAGGAGCCCTCTTATCCTAATCAAGCAATCTGCACTGATGTAGAAGGAAAATTCCTCCCCCACCTGCCGTCCCTTGCCAAGCCTTGCCCTTCCCACAGCTTGTCACGTTATTTTTTCCCCATGCTCTGCACATCCCAGGCTGCACTCGTGAACGGGAAGTGACCGTGTGGCTAAACAATTCCAATGGCCTCAGGGTTAAAAAGCTGGGGGGTGAAACTAGTTATGAAGTGGAAAATGAGGTGACTAGGGGCAGGGAGTTGAATAGTACGGGGCTTCCACACTGAGTTTTGACCATCGCCCATACTGCTGACTCTCTTAGTGTTGGTGCAGTGACATGGGAGGAAGTCTCTCTACCTTCCTGTGGTACGCTTATTCCATTTCTGCTGATTCCTTTTGTAGTAAGATAGTAGCTGAAAGTTAGACCAAGATTCAGCTCCGGTGTTCAGACAGGGTCTGGTGCATTTTACTGGCAGGTGCTAAGAACTGCACTCCTGTGCTGACTGAATCCCCTGTAACAGCTTGAGTAAACTGATTCCTGAGCTGAGGAGACACTCGCATTTGAAATAGGGAAGTACTGTTTCACTCACCTGCATTGTTTGCACTGAATGAACAAAGCTGCAAACACTTTACTTGCATTTATATCTGCACCTGAAAGTCTTCATGTTGATTACTTGCTTTTCATTCTCAGGCTTTTCAGGTGGAAATACACAAAGTTTTTCAAGTGTTTTGAATTCTAGTCTGGATCCACCAATATCTGGGATATCAGCTGATTCTGGTCTAAAAACTGACGCACACACCACCGCTCTACTCCCTGTGACATTCTGGTACAAAGTTTAGCTTCATCAGAATTACAATTGGACATGGGCACTCCAAGTAAATATATTAATATTTATTTTTGATGCAGCATTTACTGTTATAACAGTCTCTGTTGATCAATACATAAGTACATAGTCAAAACTAGAAGTCTCATGTCTACATTTAGCAGTTGGTTCAGTCATTTTTTCCCCCACTATGTTCTAAAGACTTTGTAGCTCCCATTACCTTTGGTGGAAGTTGTTTGATACTTAACACTAAGTCAAGCTGCTCTTTAAGAAGTGTCTGTACGCATTTAAGAATGAAGCTTTGAAAATCTCAGCCTGTTTGAACAAAGTGTCTGCCTCCTATTTTTCAAGTTCCTAAAGTAAGAATACTGCACCTAAAAGTATATGATTCCCAAATTCTTCATATGCAAAAGGAAAAAAACCCCAGATTTATATAATTGTATACATATGGTTTCTATAACTATATAAATTCTTCATCTGATATGAAAAGGACCAATATCTGGGGGAGGGGGGAGTCAAAGAACTTAGTGGATTGAGATGGTTAAGAATTACAAAAAAAGGCATGTGAAATGGCAGGTCCGGTAGCAAGGATTTAAAGTCAGTCTGTCAAAATAAAGTTGATATTTTAATTCAAAGTACAGATGAACTGCTTATATTCAGGAGAATGGAGGAGAAGAATTGATGCATTTAACAGTAAATGAGAATTCAGAATGAATTTGGAGTTGTAAATAAAGTTGTAATTTAGGGTAAATGTGAGAAATGGTTATAAAATATCTTCCTGTGAAAAAGGGTAAGGTTTTTGCTAGAGAGAGGAAAAGCTATAATTCTAACCTCTGCCCTTCAGTAATAATTTGATATGATGACACATGGGGAATTTGTTAGCTTCAGTGGAGGAGATGAGGGTTAATAGAAGAATGATAAGACAATGAAATGACAAGAGAGAACATGACAACACTGTGCTGAAGAAGGGGCTGTTAGAGGGTAGGTATTTTACTGGAAGAATTGACTGGCCCAGGGGATTAGTAAGGATAGAGTAAACTCTAATGACACAAAGTAAAATTGCACATTAGAAGTAGTAATAAGGTGGGTGTAAAACCTGGGAGAGCACTATTTAGAAGCAGCAGAGGAAGAAAAGATCTGGACATGACAATCAATCATAGGGTAACCATGAGCCTGTTAAATTTTGCAATGATGTGTAGTACAGAGAGTCTTGTGAAAGCACAGACCTGTGCTTTACTGATCTGTTCCAGTATCATTGTTAACAGGCTGCCTGCACTCACATGTCTGCATTTGGTTCCTCTGCTCTAGTTGTGTTGGCTTGTCTGGGCCACTGGTGTAATGTGGTTGTGAAAAAGGCAGAGGCAATCAGGTGAGGTATTCCCTAGGAGAGTGGAAAGTAGTAAATTGCCTTTATGCAGGCTTTGGTGAGGCTGCATGCTGCCTTTCAGATGCAGTTGTGGTCACCCATGTCTGTGAAGGGGAGTGAGAAAATTAAAACCCAACTCTTATATATGGTGGGCACTGAAGCTGGAACAGGTGGAGAGGGAGAGTGGTGGGCTTTTCTTATGTGACTAAAAGAGCCCCTTATCTCTGGCCTTGCAAAATGAGGTCTTTAGAGAGAAGCTTTTGATACCTATAAATATACCAAGGGGTAAATAGAAGGGAGGGGAAAAACTAGCTAAGCTGAAGGGCAATAATCTATAAGAATGAACAAATACAAGCTGGTTATGATTACATTTATGCTGGTAATTAGAAGGCAGCTCATTAGAGGGGTGAGGTTCTAGAACAACAGGAATAGTGGGAGCAAAACTGCCTGCACAGTTCTAGGGAAGGGCTGTGTTAATTTATGAAAGGGATTATATGATGCAGTTGTCTACAGTGAGAAGGAACAAGAGGTAATGATTTAGGACATCTATCCCAGTCTTAGACTTCCTATTCAGAACGGGGTATCTTAGTTCAACCAGAAGTTGCACACTCTCTGAGGAAATTACTTTTGCTCTGGCATAAGCTGTGTGGTAAATCAGATTGATTTTACTTTGTGCAATTAGAGTTTATCCCATTTATTCATATGTCCTCTTTGGACTTAAACTCTATGAATAAAGACTAAAATCTCTTTATACTTGTATGAAAGAGAACAGAATTTTGTATGAGAGCTGTATTGTTGTGTCCAGAACAGAGTCAGCTGTAAACAAACTTATGGTGGTGTAGGATCCTTCCATGACTTGGTGCACTCTTATTGGCTTGAGAAGGACTGATAGTACTACCTTAGAGGGGAACCCTACAATGTTGTGGAGTGTGCCAAACCTGGTTAAATGCCTCGCAAGGCGCTAGGGCTAGAGATTAGACTGATACGCTGGACTGGGCTGTGGAAAAAGATGGCCTCTGTATTTCTGTAACGCTGTAGGTGTGCTGCTTGTAGAATACTGGTCTTCCTTCCTATTGCAGAGTGCTTTCAGTGATTTGGTACTGGACATGAGTGTGCCTTTTCCCTTTTTCACTTAAACCTACCTTCTGACTTGGAATAGTATTTCACAAATCATTGGAAAGGCAGGCAACTCACTGCCTGGAAAACTTTCTATTACTGAAAAAAGCAACCAGTACATAAAATAACTCACAGGTAGTGTTTGTAGCTAAAGGGTTTCAAATGTGTCTTCCTTAACTCAAAACAGTGGGGATCTAGCTGGATAGAGTGGCTTGCTCTTATGTATACTTACACTGTTATGTATACTTAGGGTAACTTGAGTCTCAGATCTCTTATGGGCAAAACGTGAGCCAGGTGTCCTGGCAAGTGAGTACATCTACAGGGACATCTTAAGTTTTCCCACTCTGCAGAGGCAGATGTAAAGGCAATGAGGCTGAGCGACTTCAATGCTCTCTCCCAAATCTTGGTCTGTTTGTTTGGTCCCAGCTCAGGAAAGCACTGAGTTTGCTTGTGAGGAGGTGAGATGTTCCTTTACTAAGTGTGGATTTCAGTGTTTTGATGAAGCTGATGAACTAATAACTGTTCCGGTTTTGTAAACATTTGTTATTGTAGGGTAATATAGGTGGCTGCTGGACTGCGTACGCTGAGTTAATATTATAAACCTTTTTGTGAGTGTTCACAAACACCTGAATTTGATTAAGGCCACTTATTACCTACATTTTACATATCTTTTTGCAATGAGCACGAAGTATCTGAAATGTCTAAACAGTTACTGAGTAAGAAAATAAACCAACTTCAAAACCCACAGCTTTTTCCACTTTACAGAGTGAAGTGTATCTCTTGATGTCTACAAGGACTTAGTAGACCTGCATGTTTTGTCTTCAGGCCTAGCTTATTCCTGGCTGGGATCTCTTTGTTTTAACAGAGCAATTGTTTATATACTGTGCTATGGCTACCCTTCCCCTCTTATTGTGGACTGACTGTATCAAGTAGTTAGGGATTGGGAGCAGTGTTGCATCGTACATCACATCCTTTCAACGCTGTCTGTATGAGATAGGGCACTGGTGCCCCAAGTTAATAATGGGTGTGTGACCTGAGCTATGTTTAAGAGGTTTTAGTGACTTGAGAGTTTACAGCCATGCTGGTACGAAAGAGGCAGGGGTAAAAATACTCCCAGTCTATAGATAAATGCTGAGCAAGGCTGTAAGCATAGCAGTAAGGCTGTTTGTAAAATATATAGTATGATGCATTAGTAAATTATTTACTCACTCTAAAGGTAAAAGTTTATTTGAATATTTATCTGTTATCCATTAAAGAGTGACCTCTGGCAGAGGGCAATATCAATAACTTGGGATAGTACCATTTCATCTTTACTTGCAGAAGAAGTGGCCTTTGTTACTAGTCCTGTGAAATGGACCAAGGAAATCAAGGAATGAAAAGTTTGCCTCTCTAAAATACATTTATTTATTTTTTCCTCTTCTCTTCTGTAGGATTTTTAGAGCACCTCAGACAACATCCCAAATGGATGATTAACTTCACAATGGCAGAACTCACAGCGGAGAATGGCAGCTGTATGGACTGGCAAAAGCGATGCCTTGCATTGGAGTCCCAGCTCTTCAAATTCCGCTTGCAGGCAAGCAAGATTCGAGAGCTGTTAGCTGAGAAGGTGAGGCAGTGTGGTGTTCTGGTTTGGCTGGGACAGAATCACAGCCCAGCCGTGCCAGGCAGGCCGTTAGCAATTTGGAGTCAGACAGGGCAGCTGCCCTGAGTTACCTACAGGTGTAGCACATCCCATAATGTCATGGTCATTGTAAAGGGGGAAGGTTTACTATAGAAGGGAGTTACTGCTGGGGTCTGCCTGGGGTCCTGCTGGGGTTTCTCCTCTTCCTGCTCCTCCTCTGGCTTCTCCCTGCTCCTGAGGATGCTCTCATGTGGATTGTGACTGCTGTGTGTTCATTTGCCTGAGTATACCTTTGTTTGGTATTAGTGCTGTTTCATTAAATGTGTTTTCACTTCTACCCATGGGTCTCCTCTCCTTTTCCCGATTCACCTCCCTGGCTGGTGAGGGGTCATCAGGTGGTAGAGTGACTGTTATAGTTTAGCCCTGGATACTGTGGCTGCTCCTATTTTGAGCTAAGTTATGGCACGAAAGTGAAAAAATCTGTAAATACTGAGCTATCCAATAAAACTCACTTGCAGCGAAGATTTCTTCCTTGATTACAGTGTGTCATTGCACTCTACTTATCACTTGATATGCAGAGATGTGCCTGTCAGAGGGGTGTAAAGGGGTGTTAGTGAAAATAAGAATTTGTCCTTGTTTACTGGAAAATAACCAGGTATTTGGACTCTACTGGAAAACGCTAGCAGGCAAGATTCCGGGTATCTAAAGTGACTGAGGCAGCTGCAGAGCAAAGATGGATATTTTGCATAAGAACAGCAGGATCAGGACTTGGCTGTCAATAGAAAAGCTTACAGGAGTGCAAATTATGCTGTAATCTTAAAAGGCTGGACAGGGGTATGTCTGCCATAGTGTTAGAATAACATTGCGTATCCAGTCGAAACATTCTGAGGATACTGAACAGCAGAACTGAGATACTTTGAGATCTGGATGTGAGAAATTTGCATGGCCTCTGTGGTTTTAGAAGCATCTCTGACTAATCTCTTTCAAGTGCACTAGATGAACTTGTTTGCAATCCTAGGGGAGAAGACTGGTAAAGATCTGAGGGTTTTGTTGTTTGGGGTTGTTTTTTTTTTTTGTCTGTCGTGGTGTGGATTTTTGGTGTTTCTCCTTTACCTTAAATTGAGTTATTTTTCAATTTGAATTAAAGCTTTTTTTTCACTAACCTCTTATTTGCGTAAAATCCAAGCTTGTAGGTTGCTGTCGGGTTCCTTTGTTTCAAAATGTGGTTTACATTACTGCAGTCCAGTCCAAGTTTGCTCAGATAGTCAATTATTATTGGAAGGCGAGAACAGTTTCTTTCAGTCATGGTTTGCTAATGAAGTTGAAATCTTTACAACTGACTACAGTTGACTCCAAATGTTTTTAAGCTGTACCTGATGACAGATATGTTCTAAACTCACTTTTGCCCTGTTTTGTATTGTGTAACTTTTATGTGTATATTCTTGTTTGTTGATTTTTGGATGTAAAAACATACAAGTGACATCCACTTCAAGGTGGAGCAATTTTCATCCTTGCTTTCACTGTAATTATATTTCCGCTGATGCCGTGTACGGCATGAGACATTCATTCAACCCTTTGTATTTTAAAAAATTATGCCATTCTAAGCACCCTCTTCATCTTTTCAAGGTAGCTGGTGTGGTGGACCTTAGTGATTACTTACCTTGGAAAACATTGACAGTGGTTGTAAAGTCCATTTAGAAAAGACACACTAAAAATACCATGTATAGATGTGGTGTGGTAAAGACAGCCAGTACTCATGCAATACTCCATGCTTGCTGCTTTATGGAATCTGTGGCCTCATGCCTTATTAATTTCTGCTTTGAGAAACTTCCTGACTACCCTCGTGCAAAATGAAGAAACCCACCCATCAGACTTTCTTTTTGGAGAGCAGACTTGCCAGAGATCTCTTGACTATCCCTTTAGAGAGGTTTGTGGGCCATGGCAGAGAATGAAATTTTTGTCTGTTTCAGGGGGCTCCTTGAGGAGGGGGCCTGACTGCCATTAATCCAGCATTTCAGTCAAAGCGATGTTCCCTTTGTTAAGATTAAGGAGCAGCTTGGTTCAGCGATCAGGTTACTCTATAACTACTTGTACAGCACTGTCGTAGGCTTACTCAAAGGGTCAGAGAGCTGGCAGGTTTGCAATTCCCTACTCTGCATGTCATGTGGGAAGGGGAAAGCCTCAGGGAGGGACTGTGGGGCAGTCCTCGGACGGGCTCTCCTGATGCGGCTGGACTTGAGGCACCTGCTCAGGACACAATGCTCATGCTGAACACTGCCATTGGGAAGTGTCCTCTGCCTCAGGTTCCCAACTGCTCTGCAAAAACTTGCTTAGAGACCCTCCTTCCCTCCTCTGCAGTCACAGCAACTGGGGCTCCTGTCCATGCTGTGTGCTTCTCCTCCCCAGATGGGCAGTGGTGCAGAACTGAAGGAAGCGTGTGCTTTATGCATAGTGATGCTAGCTCCAGGGATTTTTATCATGGATTCTATAGCAACTGTGATTTAAAAAAAAAAAAAAAAATTTCTTACAAAAATTGAGAATGAAAAGATTCAGAATTATTTGAAAGAGTACTGCATTTTCAAAAAGATTTTTTGGGAGGGGGAGAGGGGGAACATCTTGAAAAACGTGAAGTGAGCACGGTATGAAGCTGTGTTGCCAACCTGGGGTAAGCATTGCCCCATAGAGCCTCTAATTATGATTTGCAGCAACGGGAAAATTAAGGAAAAAAAAAAAAAGTGGTTTAGCCAGTGAAAGTGAAGAGTAATGTTAACAGTGGTGTAATAACCTAGCTGGTGAGGAAGTTTCTTAGGGGTCTGGAAGCTACTGAATGAAAGGCTTGGAAACCTGACTCCCATATTTTTAATTAGTCTTTATAACAAATTTTATGATTTTAAGGCAGACTTTACTATTCTAACTCACAAAAAGAACCCCAACCACTCATGCCTGGCATTAGTACAATGTGCTCTAACAGTTTAAATACTTCAGATTTTTTAAATCCGCTTAGATTGAATAATCTAGATCGCTGTTCCGAACAAGAGGAATTTAAAACCCCAGGGTTTAACTGCCAGTGCCCTAGTTCACATGGTGTGAAGTTCCACACTGGTAGCCTGGTCTCAGCTATCGAGCAGTGCTGCCCAAGCTGGCCAGAGCCTGATTGTGAGTCGGCATGACAGAGGGACCCTGGCCTCCAGGACAAAGCTCTGCCGTCCTGCTGGACCCCCGCAGGGCATGAGACCCCTGGGTCCTGCCTTGTTGTGGACATTGGCAGGGATCTGATCTCTTTGGAAACAGGTGCTTGTCTCCACTCTGACTTTCTTGTACACACACAAAAAAAGAGATACTCCTCTGTTGGTGAGCGACATAGCAGGCAGTTGCCTTGGCAGCAATATGACCTGGTTAGGAGCATGCTTTGGAAGAGAACAGTAGGAAGGTGAGCCTGAGACATGCAGGAACTTTTTTCATTCAATTTTATTTAGCATGTTCTGAGCTATCAGGAGAGGGAAAGCCTGTGTGAATTGTTGATAGCAGGATCTTTTGCAGTTTTTGGAAAGGCCTTCTGGGTAGCTTTTAACCTGCTTCTGTCTTCAATAAACAATGAACATTTGGAAAAAGCCTTCTTTGTCTCATGCAAGCATGGCTGCACAATTGGTCCTGTTTCTCTCCATATAAGTTCTCTGGGCTGATGTTTGGGAGAAGTTACTTGAATTTGGCTTGGTCACAAAGTTCTTTATGTGACCTAGGTCAAGTTGCTTAGTAGCATTTGTCAAATTATAAAGCATTTTGAATGAAGGGACTCATGCAAATACCAAGCATTATTATTAATTCATTGAGGGATTTGAAAGAGCCTTACAAGCATGGATGTATTAGATCTGAATGCAGTCCAGTGAGACAGCTGACACTGGGCATGGGTGAAGTAATCATTTTGTGTACATGAGAAACACGGCAGTTATTTAACAGTTCATAGTAGGACAACCCAACAATGTAGTACAGGAAGTTAAGAAAAGTACAAGTTCATTTAAGGCTATGGAGGGAATTAGGGTGACAAAAGTAATTGGTTTGACTGGAACTTAGCCAGGTCACCCTGCTTGCACAAGGAGTTTCATAACTCTTTAGCGATCAGGAATGGTCCCAACATACATTCTCTGTCCTGACCAGGATCCAGGACTGCTAGTAGTGCAAAGCAAACTGTCCTGAGGCTGGGACAACAAGGAGTTTTTCAGCCAGAACAGTGCTGTCATCTTAAAATAACCTGCGTCTTTCATGGCGATCGCCCACCTTGTGGAGGATTGAATTATTAGCCTAAGAGAAAAAGGGCCAGAAAAGGCCCAGAGATTTATCTAAAGTCTGTGCTGTGAATGTAGACCCTGTCAATTAATCAGAAAACCAGCAGAGGCCATTGACTCTGCAGCTATTGTCATAACCAGCCTTTATTTCACAAGGTGTATTATATCTCCAGTTAGAATCTTTCACAGATATATTTTGCATCTGTCTGTCTGTGGTGGTGACTGTCCAAATATTAATAGATAAATGGATGGGTAGATCATGGTTCCTAATGCACACAGACTTGTGTTGTAACCCAGACCACTGCTGTAGGTGTTAGATTGCCGTAAGCTCAGTCTTTACCAAGACTGTCAGAGACTGGTTCTTCGGTCAGAGCAGCTTTGGCTCTCCATGCACTCTTCTGTGGCACCTTTCTGTTCCTCTACTGAAGAGTCCTTGGTTTGGATATTAAACTCCATCAATTGTGATGTCCTTGATTGCTCCACTAAAAAGGCAAACCTGAGAGGTATCACACTAAATGTGGCACATTCTGGTTTTCGTGTCTTGAATTTGTTATGGCATGGCTTTTTTAATCATATGACCATTGAGGTGTCTACATATTATATACCTTTAGATATGTTTGTCAGTAGGTGTCAGTCTGCTCTTAGGATTGATGTGTATGTATGAGAGGGAGAGTTGTCTTGTTGCCATCTGAAGGAAGGGAAACGGAAACACAGGAATGCTGTCATCTCTGTTCTGGGTAATCAACCCAAGAGGAGTAAGTCCCACTTTCAAAAGTATTGGTTTGGTCCTCAATAGTCACCGGCCTGAATACTTGGCTCCAGTGCTTTATCAAGAATTGTAAAATGCATTGGAGAGAAAAGGAGCTCAGTTCCCCTTGTAGTTTGTTTCCTGCTTGAAGCATGATTCTTTTAATCTTCTGAAGCTGCTTCTATGTCATTCCTTCATTAGTAAAACACAAGTAAATGCTGGAAACTCTGTGAAGCATTCCTCAAATTTTGCAGCTTAGTGGATGAAACTTAGTGTCAGTGACTTCATATTATTGGGCTTAAACCTGAGACCCATCGAAGCAGGGCAGGTGGCGGAAGATGACCTTGGAACCACTGAATGAGATCCTTAGTTGCTTTTTTTTTAAAAAAAAAAAGTCTGGTCTCTAGTGGTTAGGGGAACCCCAGGTACATCTGCATTTCACTGAGAATGAAATGACTTATATACATCTAGAATAAAATTCTCTTCAGTATCCTTTGACTTCAATAGCAGCAATGCTCAGATAAAGAATCACGGAACTGTCAGTTTGCAAAGCTCTTTAAAATTAAAAGAAGCACAGGAAAATTAAGATCATTGTTAATCTTGTCAGTTGTGAGCCCGTGATGCTTTTGAAGCCAAAGCAAAGTATTCATTTTTTATAACGTGGCATCGTAGAGAACTTGCTGTGAGCTTTCCAAGATGTGTTAATTTTTATTTACCATTGTGAATGAATCCTAGCTGAAATAAAACCAGGAAGGAATGGTGTGTTGTAGATGGGCTTCTTGCAGGGACAGCCCATGGTATGTAAATTGTAGAGACGGGGTCAAGACTTTGGGACTATTCCCTTGACCCATGTAATGAATGATGAAGCTCGCTAATGAGAAACCAGTTCTGGTAAATTCAAAGTAGGGCAGAAGACTGGAAAAGGTCAAAGATTTTTTTTTTGTGTGTGTGGTCAAAGCTGTCCCGTTAACCCAAAAGATGCCAACGATCTGTAGACTTGCACAAGAAATAGAAGATTCCTGAGTAAACCTGGTGAATTTCCAGGTGATGTTAACTTCTTTTCTTTCCTTCCCCCTCTCCCCTCCTCCTCTTTTGGCTCTGAAGATGCAGGAATTGGAACAGAGAGTGATAGAAGCAGAGCAAAGAGCTGAGGATGCAGAGAAACAGGTAAGAGATTCTCCTATGGTTGCTCTGGTACAAGCCCAGCAGAAACTTACTCTAAATTTGCTCTAGTCTAGCATACAGACAGTACTCTGCAGTGCCGTGCTCTGCTAGGGACACACCGATTTACAGTGTTGAATGGATTTTCTGGTCTGCTTCCCAGCCTTTGAGCATGAGCTATGAACAGGCACCTAACTGTGTTCAATCCTGAGTGAAAACCAGCGCCTTATATCTGCCTCTCAGCTTCACAGCCTTTACTCCCTTATCCATGATAGGCATGCTTGGTCATGGAAAAGGAAGGAGGGTAGTGTACCTCAGGATTAAAATGCAGGGATAGAGCTGCCTGGCAAGTCCTTAGAAAACAAATACTTAAGAGTACTGGTAAGGACTTGTCTACAAGTAGAGAAGATTCTGCAAAAGGAGTAAGGGTGTGTCTGCAAAACCAATCAGTTGTTTTGGACTTTCTTTTTAGTAATTACTGCTCTGGCTCCGGAACCCCTGGAGAAAAGCAGTAAGATCTGGATTCATTTCATATTACTATAACCATCTAAAAATTAGGCATATTGTCTAAGCTAGTCTGTCTAAGCTTCTTGAATAGTGGAGAAGGGGGGGAGAGAGAGACTTCAGCTTGTGAACAGGCTATGAAGAATAATGGACCTTTGGGAAGCAGACTGGTATACAGCCTATGCTGTAAAGAGTGTTATAAAAACAAAAAAGGCAGGAACGGCCTGATGACACTGTAGAAGACTGCTGAAGGGAAGGTTTGAAGTGAACTAGCTCCGTTCAGCTGGACAAGAGCTGCAGGACTGAGCTTTGAGTCAGAGATTAAAGCGTAGAACTAGAAGCCATGCAAGGTGCTCAAGAACAGCTGTCAAAGATGACTTCAGTAGTGGAGGACTGAATAGGCAGTGTTATAAGCACTGGAAAACATATTGCCTAGGAATCAAGACTTTGAAGTACCTGGTAAGGTATTCTGTTTGCAGAATGTACTGTTCCATGCCAGTTTTATATTGACATCAGTTTTTTTTCTGAACAGCTGAAATACAGGAAAGATGTTATGTCTAGTCACCATGCTGTTGGTCTCTGTGCTAGACCAGCACTGCCAACCAAGAACAAGAGTTGTTCTTGAGAGTGGTATCAGTAAGTCCACACCCAACCAAGACAGGCAAAGTAACATTGTCACTGTTATACAGTTATTGCCACAGGCCAATGAAGGAAATTTCATTCTAGCAGATACCTCGGTGACAGGAGTAGAGTGTCCATGATAAGGTAAGTTGCAGTGACAGCAAGGGAGCAGATGGAGAGAGAACAGTCAAATCCAGGTTAGAGAATGGGCAAGAAAGGGAGAACTTGGCTGGGAAGGTGTAGGAGAAATGAGGGTTGCCTTCACTTACCTGCTACCATCAGTAATGAGTGTTGCCTTCACTAACCTGACACCAGCAGTTCTGCAGCCATGTGTTGGCAGGTCCTAAAGACCAGCAACCCTCAAAGTTTGCCTTTCCAGCAGCCTTATCCACATCCAGAGATAAGTGTTTCTACAGAAATTCTTCAGTGCTGCCTGACAGCCTGAAGAAGTGATGGCATAGGAGTTGGGACCATTCCCTTCCACTAACAAGTATATTCACAATGAATGAGAAGCAGCTGACAAATGAGAGGGCTCCACATCAAGTGCAAAATCCCTTGTTATCTTTCTGTCCAAGAGTCTGGGGGGTTGGATTTGTTAATTCAATGGGCTCCCTGTAGCTGCCAACCTCAATTAAGGAAATCACATGTTTGCAGTCCCCTCTCTGAGCCTGTAGTACAGAGTCAGCATTTGGGCATCAGACAGAAAGGAGGGGCCATTTCTTTTTACTGTAATCACCCTAAACTCTAATGAAAACACATCCAACTCAGCAGGCTTAGTTTTCTGGCTCGGATGTTGGGCGCCTACCTTTCTGATTCACTATGAGGAAGAGGCAGTTTGCTTCTCTGCCTAATGCAGGCAGACAGGAGGACAAAACACAGCTTCTGCAAGTATGAAGTGTAGGCTGCTCAACAGAGCATGAGTAACTCTCTTGTACAGACTCCATGAAGTGCTCAGATCATTGCCTGCATTCTGCCTTCCTGGTTCCAAACTCATGCCAAATTAATGGTATCTGGAGTTGGCTTCTTTGCAGATTTAGTCTCTCTGGGATGTGTTGGAACTAGATATTTTTCCCATCATCAAATGCTGCAATTAGCAGGTTTGAGCTAAGTTGATGGAATTCCATTCACCTTTAGAAATGAAGTCTTATAATTCATTGCAATAGGATGAGGTAATGATAAATAAAACTTATGTCAAGAGACATAGGTTTTGAAGAAAGCAAAGAGGTTTTACGAATTTGCTGGAAACCTGAAAGGCTTCAGCAACAGCTAGATTTTAGCGCATTGAAACTTTGTCTGTAGTGAAGGAGCATTACACTGGTGCTTCTCCTGCTGAGATGAATAAGCACTGGCAGGAGCTCAAAGATAGGCAAAGCTTCGGTAACTCCTTAGAAGGTCTGGAGAAAACACCTGTCAGAAAGCCACAGCATTGCCCAAGCTGGGGATAGGGAGGCGAAGGAAGTCCGTAGTACGTTTCCCTATAGAAATCTTGATCTGAAGCAAATGGCCAGGGTTTTGTGGTGTATGCCATGGTAGTGAATGAGAAAAAAAGCTGACCATGGTATTGCAAAGGAGAAAGATGTGGTGTACGTTGCCCACCTATGTAGACTATAGTGCCTATATGGTCTCTTTGACTAGTAGTGTGCAAATATTTCAGAATCCCCGGTGTGTTATCTGTTCATGGTTCAGTTTGCATCTGTTACTGCTTCAGCATTACAAATGAATGGACAATGTTCTTTTCGTGAATGTGGATATAAACTAAGTGTGACCTGAAGGGTTGGGGTTATTTTCTTCCTTTCCCAGCTTCAAAAATATGAAATACACAAATACTCTCAGTTAAAATACCACTAAACAAGTAGCTCCTTCATTTGCATTGTTTTGGGTTTTTTGTCTCCCTCTGATTGTCATTACAGGTCAGAGTTATGGAAGAGAAGATAAAGCTAGCCAACATGAAGACCAGTGAATCAGACAGCACTCTGCACAGGAAATACCAGGAGCTGATGGGCACAGTGCAAGGAAAGGAAGATCTGATCAACAAATTGGAGACACAGCTAGCAAAACAGGTAAAGATGCTTTCTACAGGGAGACCTTTAGCTTTCATGAGTTGGAGCGACTCTGTAATGTATGTTTCAAAGGTATGGATTATGTCTCCATTACATATTGGCCTCTGAGTCCTTCAGATCAGCTGTAAAATGATGCCCTGCTCAGTGCAAGATCCTCTCCTTCCTTTCTTTTTTCAGACTAAAACATCCATTCAGCCTTAGTAGCCCTTGTCCCTTCATTATAGGAGACTGGTCAATATTCTTAGAGGACTTCCTTATATTAGTGTTGAGACCCTAAATTGTAATGCTGGAGTCTGGTCACAGTATTTCTCTGGCTTTCTAGCATATAGATTGCTCTGCAAAATAATTACGTAGCCCATCTCTCACTTGGCATGTGCTACTTCTTGGGAGGGGACTTTTCCAGTCTTCAGCAATCCTTTAGTATAGTTCATATCTTGTCAGATGTCCTCATTATAAAAGAGCAGCTGTTTCCCTGTATGGCTAGTTATTAGTCTCTTCCATTCTCAGTTGGTGGAAGGAGGGAGCTACATCTACAGCAGGGCTTGTACTCTAGTAAAGGCCTTGCCCTGTGGGCTTTATAACATGAGGAATGAGGTATTCTTATGTTACAGGAGTAGAGTGTCCATGAAATTACTTTTAAATGGAAATAACTTATTAGAATTTTACACAAAAAATACTTTGCCATTTGAGTTACATTTTACATTTAACTGTCACCTATTCCAAGGGCAAAATAAATTGGTAAGCTGCCTGAACTTACTCAGATCAAGTATAGTGTGGAGGTCAGGCATCAGGTCTTTGTAGTGGTCTGGGTTTCAGGTCACTCACCCACACCAGCTTGCTCAGGCAGAATGTCTCTGCATTTTGAAGGAGAAAGAAGGTGTTCAGAAGGAGCTACAATAGTGAGCAAGGTCTGGAAGCAGCTGTTGTAATCAAAGATGGAAGAAACTCTGATTTCCCTGAAAATGTGAGGTGTGATTTGATTAAAATCAACAAACACAAGTGTGAAAATGTTCTGTTAGTAGAAATGTTTTTATTCTAGCAACAAGAGTCAAAACGAGATTCTAGAAATGAAAGCCGAAGCTTGACAATTTCGGACAAGAACCACTTTTTATCAGGGTCACCAGTTTAGTTTCAGAATGGGATGGGATGGTGTCAGCACTAGAAGGTCACTAAGGGTTTCTGTAAGGCATCCTCCTTGTTTTCACTGGGATGAGGAGAGCTGTGGAGTTCAGAGAATACAAGAACACTGAGGTCATGTCTGGACAGCACAATAGCATGGGACACAAAGAATCTCTAACTGCTTCTGGATCTTAAGCACAATAACTGCATCTATGGGTACTGTGCCTGAGCAAATTGGCTCTGCTTAGAGGCAGGGCTTACTAAGCTCTGCGACAATGCTGTTGTCATGTCACTATTCTACTTTAGGACCCTAAATAAAATATTCCTATTGCACTTCACCATGTAACATCGCAATATTCTGAATGCTTAAGCTCCTGGTCCGTGATCTGAGACAAGTCCAGTCATTAAGGATTCCAAGGCATTACCCATGTGATGGATATTCAGAGAACTATGGTAGATCCACTATGCGTGCCAGATGACTTCAGACCAGTAGGCATGTCTAATATTCTGACTCCAGCAAAGGCCTGATGATTGGGAACATGCACAGCCATAGTCAAGGAGAGAAACTACATAAATCCTCCTCTTGAAGCATCAGATTTGATTACTTTTATTTCTTTATGCTCAACTACAAATGTTACTGCTACCCATAATGTTGCCAAGGTTTATTTAATATCAGCAAACATATTTGAGTAAGAGCTTTTAAATGTGGAGTTGTGGTGATGAATGGCATGTGGTGATTAAAAGCAATGCGAAGATGCGGGGAATTTCCTTGCGGTCTACTGTGTATTTATATGGTATTCATTAAGTGAACTTACACTCTTCATTGTGAAAAACTTAAAAAGGGAGCAGAGAGGGGGAAGCACTGACATTTTCATTATCATAATTCCTGGTATTTGTTCACATCAGAAAAAAAATCTAGCAGGGAAACAGCCAGCTGCTACTAGAAGGTATTACCTTTGTCCATTTAATTAGAGAAACAGGGCTGAATATGCCATACAGGGTATATTCCCCCTCCCTCCCTCTCTTGCCTCTGGAACTGATTTCTCCTTGTAGTTGTTTAAATCATTATATAGGTAGGAGACCTTTAGGTGACGTTGCTTCTGATGAAGCCACAGAGGAAATGAACAGAAGGCTTCAGGTCACTATAGTGTCAGTCCGGCATCTTTCAAAGGAAATTCCCAGAAAAAGGAAAAAACACAGACGAGAAAACACACATGCAAAAATTATGTTGTAGCAATATTGCCCAAGCAGATACTTGGGGGGAAAAAATGTTCATTGTACAAATCAACAGTATTCCCATAACACCTTTGTGTGGACTAAAACCTGTTTTAATAGATATGTAAACATACAACCACTTACATCCCAACGCCTCCTAGCAGGTCTTAGTGTTTCAAGGTCAAGTTTTGAAGGGTTTTTTTATCCCGTGTCTGTTATCTTTTTATATTTATTTACTTTCTCAATGAGAATATTGTGTGTGTTAAAAACATTGTTGGTATTAGTTTCCATCTCGTACACCTTTAAAGTTTATACTCTACATCTGTGCTTGCAGCAATTGAATCCCTTTTGGTTGTGATTATTGCAGTGTTTTATAAATCACAGGCCCTGCTTAATTCTTGTTAACTTCAGCCTACAATATGTGTGTGTGTGCGTAGACTGGGGGAACACCACAGAAAACAGCAAACAGCAATATTGCACAACCATCTAAACCAGGAAAAGTTGCAGACCATACTCAAAAGAAACTGTGGTAGATGAGCTGGATTTTGCTATTCTACAACAAACTCTTGAAACAACCCTCTGCATTTGACTCCAGGGACCGTGTAAGACAATTAGAGCTTGATTTTTTTCAGAGGCCAGCTAAATAATAATATCCAAATAGGAGTCTCAAATCTTGCATCTGGAACGGGAGCTTTGGCGTTTAAGTCACTCCTGATGCAGTAACTTGCTGAGAACAGTTAGTTGTGCTCTCCTAATGCATCTGATCTTTTTTTTGGCACAGAAACAGTTGAGGACTGAGGAAGCCAAAATTGTTCAAGAGAAAGCTGCCAAGATCAAAGAGTGGGTAACATTTAAGCTCAGAGAGGTGAGTCTTTAGCTTGCTGCCAGGTTTCAAGGCCTGTGAGTAGGTATGGTGGCTGCACTGTGAGTGGGCTTCCATGTAGGACAATAGTCTGAGCACAGCCTGTCTGCCACAGAGACTTTCTGCTTGTTTGGCCCTACATGTGCTCAGTTGCAGAGCTAGGGTCATCCCTCTTACTGAGAGCTCTCTACTGCTTTGCACGAACTATAAATGACTGTGAAGTCACTAATGCCTAAAAGCAGTCTCTGAAGAAGATTTGCTACTCACAAGTGGCTTCACCTAGCTTTCCTCTGCTTCTCTTTTTCTCTGGGTGTGGTTTCTACCTCTCTCTCTGACAAAGCAGCTGTGACATGAACACATGTCCTTTGCTCTTCCTTAATTTGCTACCTCTGACTAATGCTGCCCATCATTTTCTCATTTCTAACCTCTCCCTCCTATCCATCCTGTGGACTTATGCCTCTATCTGGGCCTAGTTCAATACCCTCTAGAAAAACAGAGATAGCAGCAGGTCAGCATGCAGTTTTAAAGATGCAGCAATAGTTTACAACTGGGAATGGGGCTATCTGGTCTTTGCCTTTTATTCCAAGTTAAAGCCATAGATTTCCCAGTTTATGCCAGAAAGGGCATTTATGAGAGTTGGAAGAAGCAGTCTTTGTGGGCATTAATTGTGTTATGATGTGACATTGGAATCTCATTAGATTGCCTAGATAATTCAGTGAGCTGCTGTCTTCTTTCTTTTTCCTATATGAGATAACTTATGGTGCATCTACATTACTGACTGGTGCAGAATGAATGGGGAAGCACAGGGGTTGACTTGAGTGGTCCTGGATTCACAGGTCACGCCATGCACATTGTGTCTTTACTGGCAATAAAGTTTGTGCCAGATGCTGATTGTAGGTGCGTACCATGCATGAGTAGACCACTGCCAACTGAAGGACTTCGTATCTGTGTTGCAAATGGGTTGCTCTAGACATCAGCATGGGTGCAATTTCAACTTTGATCCCATCCAGCGGGAAGCGTCTTTGGGTTCACCTCTGCTGCATTTAAGAACATATGCTGAGACGCTTCAAGCAAAGACATAAGGCAAATTTGCAAAGAATCACTTGTGCGTTAATTGCAAATGTAAATGCACCCTTAATGTTGTTTGGGTTTTTGTTTGTTTTTTTTTTTTTCCTTTGGTCCCCTGGATTCAGGGGATCTCCTTTTACCACACACAGGACAAGAGGGGAAAAATGTTCCTCCTGGGTAATAATTTTTTGATTGTCTCTTTCATGACAGTTATTTCTGGAACAGGAGTAAATGGTAAACAATAGCAGGGAAAGAAATTAAAAGATCTATTTGAGAAGTGCGAATAGTATATACAGAGGCTGTTTGAGAAAGCACAGCAAATTGTTTAAGTGGGTTGAGTAGAAAGATTTCAAGGTGACGGGTAGGCTCACTCATCCTTTTTTCCTTCTCCTCTTAAGACATTTGAATGTAATAAAGGTGTAATAAAGATGTTCATAAGACATGTTCTGTATACTGGAACACATGCACAGACAGTTTTGCGTTATTTTTCAGTTTTTGTTATTGTTGTTTCGTAGCTTGAGATAGAAAATTACCACCTGAAAAACTGTAATCAGAGGCTGACGGAGCAAATTGAAGCCCTTCAGGATACATTGCAAGGTAAACGTGTTCACCTGGCATTGTAGCCTAGTAACCACAACAAGAGTGGAAGTCAGCATTCCTGGGTTGTGTTCTTAACTTTGTCAAAAATTAGTACTTGTGACAGTGAGCAAGCAGTAGAATTGCTCAGTTTCTCAGTGGGCCCACTTTTAAGATGGGAATAATATTGCTTACCTGCTTTAAAAACTCTTAATTGGCTTCCTACCAGTGATTGAACATGGACTCTTTTTTTTTTTTTTTTTGTGAGTCTGCTTTTGCCATTAACATAAACCACTGAGCTCCTGAATTAGAAGCAGTCATTGAAATACATAGCAAGCCTCTCCATTCAGTTCAGCAGTGCAGGGCAGAAGTCCCTGAGGTATTTCACTTTACCTCCACATGCAAATTATCCTCGTCCCCACAGTACCTCTGCTGGTGTGTGAGCTGAGTAACTGAGGACTGAATGGGCCAAGGCAGCAGCTCTCTGGTCTGCCTTTAGAATCTGGGTTCCTCTGTGCTATCAGATTGGGTTGGAGAAAGGCGCTTACAGTGCGTGTGCTTTTGTGGTTCTTGTTTGGTGGATAGATGGAGAAATTTGGTCTCCAGGGCTTGAAAAAACACCTTTCATTGCAACACATTTTGGAGAGGAAATTCTCTTAGCCATTTTCTTCATGTTTTGTTTTGTTGGATTTTTTTTTTTTTTAAATGATCTTGGTTTGGTCACAGTAAGATGAGCTAGTTTCCAGAAATTCACTGGGCATGCAGGCAGGGGACACTTCTTTCCTGCAGAAGTCTTTCTGGCAAAAAACTCCACAGCAAGGGAATAGGGCAAAATTCCTTCTAAATCCCACCACATTTCTAGCTAAATGCTTTATGACTGGGTTTTTCTCATCCCCTCTGGCTCTGGCTGTTTACAAAAAGAGAATGGCTGGTAAGCTGCGTTAATAATCTGGTATTAAGTGTTCCCTGGATCCCAACTCTATGGACAGTAAACAGAGGCCTCTACAGAGAGACAAATCTCTGCTTGCTTGCCATGCTAATAGTAACAGCTTCCTCTGCTTCATCTCCTGTCTCCTCTAGGAAGCTGCAAAAATACCAATAATATTTAAAACAAATGGGCTCTTTTCAGTCTACACTAAAGATATACCTCAGGGGCCGGGGAAAATGTGTGTCAGGATTTGTGTGTGCCAGGGTTATGTGTTAGGGATAGCTTTGTTAGTGTTTGGTTCCTTGTGACTCAAGTGCCAAGGTCAGGCTTTCATGGTTGTCGCTTTCTCAGCTGTTTCCTAGAGCGGATTTCATCCTCTCCGCAATCAACAGTGATTTATTCTGCTGTTTGCTCTTCCGTCTGTTACTTTCTGTCTTCAGTTTGTTTCTACTTCTTTGTAAATCCTGTTAGTGGTTAAGAAATGCTTGTAGAGTTTGATATTCAGGCAGCATTTTCAATAATAGCTGTGCAGAGTCACGGTCACCCATATTTATGCAATTTCTGAAGCATCTTATGACTTGCTGCTTTTCAGTCAGGCAATATATAAATGCCAAGGTCAATCAAAATCATAAAGTCAAGTAACATCCTCTGCTGCTCCAAGTTTTATCCGCACTTTTTGATACCCTAAAGCTACTATTCAGCAGAACCTGTAGAACTTAGTCTTTAAGTCTAGTAATTACGGAAAGGCAGAAAGTAGAAGAATTAGAAAGTATAGGTACTAAATAGACAAAGAACAATGGAGGCAGCCTAGGATCTATCCCTTATGTCATCTTCTAATATAGCAACTGAAAGGACAAAGCAAAAATAAACAAAAGGAAGCTTTTACAGAAAAAAAATGTAAGTTACTGTTATAAAACTTGTTGACAAAAAGCACTGCTTGGATCATCTAGCACAAAAGGATAGCAAAAAGCTCTTGAGAAGAGAGTAACCTCACTGATTGGTGTGATGATTAAGAAGGTCTCCATACATATGCTGGAAGCTTCATCTAGCCCCGGAAACGGGAAGAACTATACCAGCTTGTTTGATGGCTTAAATCATTGTAGGTCCATTGAAGTCAAAAGCCACGCTAAGCAGTGTTTCGGCCACTTAAGTGGTTTTTGACAAAGCGTTGTGTGGATAGCTGCACTTCCTTCTCATGGCTGTTTTAGAAGAGATAGATATAATCATGGTTAGGTAAGAGTAAAAATTGCTACACTGAGTTAGACTGAAAGCTTGCCTAGGCTAGTACCCTGTCTCCTGGTTGTCTGTGGATGTGTAGAAAATATTTCAAGTAGAGCCGTCTTCCTCTCCATGTACCTTTCCAGCTTCTGCTGTCAGTGTTTTAGGAAGTTCCTAGGCCAGAGCTTCTGTCTAAACTGTTAGTTGTACCACTGATAAAGTACTTTTTCTTGCTTGTCTTGGACACTGCAGCATTCTATTTCCTTTTTTTGTCTGAAGAAAAACCCCTTCCTTCTATAAATTTCAAACATACTGCATTATTTTCATTAGGCACCCCTTAATTCCACTTTTGTAAGAAACAATGATTAATCATTTCCTATTCATCTTTTCTGTGCTGTTCTCAGTTATAAATATATAGCACTTCAGTTACAACTGTACGCAGCCATCTCCTTTCCATTCTACATGGTCCTAATCAGGCCAGGGCGCTATTGAAATACAACTGACATGAACAACTTGCACTAGCAAGTAACGTTTTAGGCAGTAAAGCATTTGAATGCCCTAACCACACATTTTCCTCCATTGCAGATATGACCAGCATTCATCCCTTTGAATCTCTTTGGAGCTGTAATTCTCTGAAGCCCAGAGCATCACAGGCCTCTCTTGCTGAGAAGATAGACCAGAAATCTGTGCTCCTTGCACCTGGTTTCAGACAGGTGTGTCAGACAGGACCTACCAAACCTATCCTCTCTACAGCAAACATAGTCCTTGCCAATGACACCTTTACTGAGGATGGAGAGGATAAATCTCTGCTTTCCCAGAGCACACTGAAGCTCTTGTCTGATCCACCAAGCTGGAATCTTTCCAGAGAGAAAGATGTATTCCCAGCTGTAAGTTCTGAACACAGCTTAGGGTGCTCTGATCCCACATCACTGGACCCTCCAGCTGAGGCCACAAGAATCCTTGAGGCTTTGACTTTCCAGTCCTCTTTGGAAGGAAACAGTAGCGCTGTGAGCACCTTGCAACAAGGGGCTTTGGATGGCACCCGCTTCTCTGATGATCCGAGTACCAGGTTTCACTCCTACCAGCTGGACTCCTCTTCTTCAGGAGAAATAATGAGTATGCTTGAGGGCCATCTCCAAACTGCTGAGCCACCCTTGGTTGTGTCAACATCAGCTGTTACAGCACATTCCTTCTGTCCAGGGAGGGGATGCGGCCTTGGCAGTAGTATGACCTTTCCAAAAATACGGACTTCCAATACACCAAGGGACAGTATCCAACTAGCCAAGAGACATTACAGCCAACCACAATCAGGGGCTAACTCTTTCCATCGTGTAATGAGCTTAGAGGCTAGCACCTTCCAGCCCATAACAGACTCTCCGGTCTGCCATGGGCAAGTGAAGGAGACAGACATTGATGATGATGGGGTATTGGAGAAGATGGAGACAGAACGTGGGCCAGTGAGGGAAGAAACTGGAGCATATGAGGAAATCAACCACTTGCCTGCAGGTCAAAGAGAAGCTGTGAGTTCCGAGGCTGGCATACTTGACCCAGGAGGTAAACCTCCCACACCACCGCTGCACAGATTTCCATCATGGGTAAGAAATGCAAGGACAACAGTCTAAGAACTGCTGCTTATCTTTGAGTAGTGCCTAGTAGTTAGGCTCAACAGCTTTTGCTGTCAAGCAATTGTTTCCTGTGGACATCAGTCACACTTCTGAACCACCTAGTCTGACAGTTCCAGATCATGGGGCATGCTGTTTCCACTGACATTTTTTTAATCTTTTTGTTTTTATAAGGAGAGGGAAAAAAAAATCTGTGGAAGAAATAGTACTCAAGAAACACAGGAATTATACTGAAAGTCAAGAGGTGCTGCATTACGTTTTATCCTTACGGGTCGGTCATCAGAAGTTAATCCTTAGTTCTGTTGTTATGTGTTTAAGATAGAAAAGTGAGTCATAAGTGCAAGTGAATGGACCAGACCAGATAGTTTCACAGTCAGAAAAAGCTGCGAATACTAGAATAGATACATAGGTTAGATCTCTGTGTTCTTATCTCATGGTATACTTCTGCTACAGGAAAATTTTGTGAAAACCATTAGTGAAGTGAATATATGTGTCCTGTTGCTTACTTCATATGAGAGAAGTTTGTTGTGATCACTTTCAGTTACTTGTTAGTTCAGATGGTTGGATTGTTTGCTAATGTGTCAATCTAACTGGTAAGTTTGGTGGAAATCAATGTAGTATCAAAACAGAAAATTCCATTATTTTCAGTTTGTTTTTTTAAAGGCATAGGCAAAAAGCAGTTTATTGAAGGTGCAAAGTCAAGCACTCATTGTTAATCCTCATGTTTTATATTTTTATTTTCTTGAAAACTTAACATTATTTGTGATTTTTGGCTGTGGCCTTTGTATTCTAATTTAAACCCCAGTATAATCACAGCTGTTTTTCCAAAGGAATCTCATTTCATTCGGTCCATAATATGGAGCTGTTCTGGGGATGAAGCTCGATAGTGTGGTAGAAGAAGCTGCAGTTTTCAAGATGTCTGTTTTATTTGCTGCAGAAGTCAGAAAGGTGTTGTGAACAGTGTACTTGCTTGGAAGAAGGGAAATACATCTGAGATTGACTGCTATTCCTTTCTCTGATCTAGAGTTCCCATGTAAGGTTCTTCTGATCCCTTAAGCTAAATTTTTTGGAGATGATCATCAGCTCCACACACACCACTATGTCTAACTCGAGTTTGGCAAGTAAACTTGATTAGACGAGTGCTGAGCTTCTCTGCTGCAACTGTAGGTGTTTTCATTACAAACAATGTTATATGGTGCTAAATTTTAAAAAAGTCAGGTCTTGGACATGTTGAAATGGGTATCCAAAGATGTTGGATACTTCAGAGAACCTATGTCTGAGTTTCTCTTCTGGAAAATAGCAATAGCACCTATCAATGTCTCTCCCAGGGTTTTTGTAAAATTTTGTATTAATGTTTATGAAACATTGCAGTATTGTAGTCAGGAACACCACATGAAGAATCCATTGTTTTGTCTTCAGAGTCAAGTGTATCCAAGTAGGGCAAATTTAAGTATATCAAACACTAAAGCATGAATAGAATATTAAATAGCAGCTTAATCAGTAAGAAATGTCCATTGTGTGCCCTGAATAGGAAGTGTCTGGGGAAAAAATGCACGTAATATTTTATTAGAGACTAAATCACAATGCATATACATACAGAAAACATGAATTCCATCATTTCTTTTTTTAGTGTACTTGTCTTTGCAGTCTTAGGTACTATCATGTATATGTAGTATGTCTGTTATGTGATAGTGATTGGTTGTATGCTTTAAGGAGCAGCAAGAGGATTCCTAGCTTTGATTTTTATCCATTTTAGATTGGTTGATGTCTTAGTCATAACATTGCATTTAGTTACAGGTTTGAGTTTCCCCCCTTGGAATTTTTATCAATTTGTGAAGCACTTGGAGATTCTTTGAACTGAAAGCTCCATATATTGTTATAACTGAGACATAGATTTACTGAGATCATTCCAGGCATTTCTTTCATTCCCTTGTCAGAGAAGGGGAATCCTTTGCAGGTGGTGATTCAATAAATTGTCCTGTTCTAGAGCTGTTCTTGATTCATTTTAACACATTGTTTGTAAAGTGGAAAAAACAGCTTTTTCCAAGCTGTGATATAGTAATTTATTGATAATTGCATGTAGGTGTTCCGGTCTGTGGATATCATCTCTGTAGCATTTATAAGCCAAGTTTGTTGTGATTCATATTGCACACAGATGCGCATTTCCACTAATGGTCATTCATGCAACATCTGGTGGAATAGAGCAATCTTTCTTAGAGGGCCTCTCCTTCCTGCCCAAAGGTGTGATTGTGATAAGATTTTTGTGACACGAGCATTTCTGCTTGCAGGGATCATATTTTTGTCTGACCGTTGCTGTTTGTGGTCTTATTGTTCCAGGAGAGTCGAATCTATGCTGTGGCCAAGTCTGGCATGAGGCTGTCTGAAGTGGCCACGGTGAATGATACTTCCAGCTGCTGTAAGTTCTAGGAAAGATCCACCCTTAGAGGGAGTTTACAGTGACTGTGGGAGCTGAGCTTCTGGCTGTTCAAATTTCTTTATTTCCTTGCTTGTTTTCAAAGTAAATTTGATTTCACAGATAAAGAAAGGAAGGGAGGAGGATACATCTGATCTCAGGGATGGTTGGTGCTGGGCTGTTTGAGCCCCTACATTTGGTGACATCTTCAGGAACTCTGTTATCTCCCTCATCACTTTAGCTGACGCTGTTCTGCCTCTGCATGTCTGTGGCCTGCTTTTAGTCTTGTGATTCAAGATCACCTTTCCCACTTTATGGCTTTCACTTGTTTGGATACAGTGCACTAGATTACTGTTGTACCATGGGGAGCACAGGGCGGGTAGGAAGTCTTACAGACTAACTGGAGGAAGCATTGCAGCTGTCTCTGGGAGTTGTATGTAATTAATAACACATCCCCTGGCCTTGCTGAGGCCAAACCGTCCAGGATGGCAGTCCTCCATTATTTGGTGTTTTAAAAGGCTACTATAAGTTCTTACATGCGTACACATACCTTTCCATTACGACCTCCTCCTTCTCACCAGTTTGTATTATTTCCTTTCCTGTGGTTTCTCTCTGAATTTTCCTAGTTTCCAACTTCTCGTGTTCAACTTCTGGGCCATTTACCTGTCTCATCTACAGAAATGTCACTGTGCCAGTCTACACTACGCTGAAGGGGGTAAGGAGTTACATCACTCTTCCTGTTATGAAAAGCATGGTTCAGGGCTGCTGGTAATTTGAGAGAGAACAGGATGAAGCTGTGCAGCGAAGGAAAGAAAATTAGAGAATGCCAGGAAGTACTGGACACCAAAAGAAGGCAGAAGGAGTAGCAGATGATAAATGTATCTAGAAATACAGAACATTGCAGCGGGGTTTGGTCCAGGAAGCTACAGTGTTGCACTATGAGGCTGTAGAAACCTAGGGGTGATAGTGGGTGTAGCCTAGAGAATGAAATGGAAGAGGGCTCTTGGGAGCTTAAGTGGGAAGCACAGGGCTTGTGGAACAGTCAGAGTTGTAACCAGAGGAGACCCAAAGAGATCAGACTAGAGTCCAGCCTGGAAGTTCTCAAACTAGAAAGGGAGGAAATGAGGAGCCCTGGGAACAGAAGTGGGCAAGGCAGTGTGAAAATGAAGGGAATGCGTTGATTGCTCTGTCTCCTTATTGACCAGAGATTGTCCTGGGGAAACTCTTCCCTTGCACTGACCATATGCATCTGTATTCCAGAAAGCCACACAGATCAGCAACGTGCCTTTCTTAGATGAGTCTTCAGGCTCTGATGATGACTGTGGCTCCCATGCCAGCTTCAGGACTTCTACTGCTGGATCTGAGAACAGGAAAGCTAGTGTGCCAGGCAGCCCTCGTGCAGTGAAGAGAGGTAAAGTGGGTTTCCTCATGGGTGAGGCAAGATGTCCTGAACAGCATCATTGGTGACAGGCGAATGCTCAGCCTTGGTGATGCTAATAAGGAGTTCTCCCAGAATGTGTGCAGACATGAGCAGCTACTCAACAGAAACCTGTCCTCTTAGATGGGATTTTACCACTGGTGGATTTCCATCCAGACAATTGCTAAGCTAAGACTGTGGAAAGGATTGATCTCCCAAATTCATCATATGTCCATACCTTTCTGTGACTTCTCCTTGTAAGCAAGCTAGTACTGACACATTAAAGAAAATGTTTTTCATCTCTGTCGCTGGCTGATAACTTCCTGACCAGTAAGCAAATCTTTCCTATCTTGAGAGGCATTAGCTGATTTGGGTCCTGGCTAAGGCAATTTTTCTTAACTGCTGGGAATGTTAAACTGGATCATTGAGTGCAATTTTCGTTACAGTTGGTAGTCAGTAAAATAGAATCCCATTTCACATAGTCAGCTTCTGTTGTCATGGGTTGGCTGATGGGTCTGTGCATTGCTATGCACCAGTGGTGGAAGATTCCCAGAAAGCAAAGCCCTATTGGTGGGAGCCTTTTCTTTAGTTTGAATGAGAGGCACTTGAGGCCTGTTTCCAAGCTGAAAACAGCATGTCTGTGCTTTAGACAAGTCTGTTATTCTTTAAAGAAATATTAAAAAAAAATTTAAAAAATCGTTGCTTATTCAGCCATATTTCTTTTTTCACTGTCAGTATCCAAAACTCACTCTTGCTGATTGTCTTCCTAGAGGAAAAAAAATAGCTCTCAGAAGTTTGGTTACTGGGGTTTGAGTTTCTAAAGTCTGATCTTCTTGAACAAAAAAGCCTTAATGGTGAACTCAGACTTTTTTGAAGTGTGCAGTATTTGGTGCATGCTTCTGTCTAGCCATGAATCTCATTCCTTCCTTTATTTTGGACAGGTGTATCCATGTCCTCACTGAGCTCAGAGAGTGACTATGCCATCCCTCCTGATGCCTACTCCTTGGATGGTGACTACTCAGAACCAGAACATAAGCTACAGCGAACATCTTCCTATTCCACTGATGGTGGAATCTGCACTGTAAGTCTTGCTACCTCACAGTTGTGAAGGGGTGCAAATAGAGCCTTGGTCTCGAAAGACAATAAGCATAACTACAATATATTGAGTTAACCCCTGCAAAGTAATGCTCTAACAGACTGGTCTGTTGGTCCAGCTGGTTTGTATCAAGAGACACATCTGTTGCTTCAGAAGAAGGTGCAATTTCTGTTATGTGGTTAGATAAAAGTATAAGCATCAAGGGCTGTGTTCTTTCCTGATGACCTGTACTGGTTCCTTGTAGTCGTATTCTACTTTAATTATGGCTTTACATGTTTGTGACAAAGCAAGTTTGGAAATTCAGAGGAAGGAAGCAGAAAGGATAGAATATTTTATCCTAGAAAAAAACCTCAAACATGGGCAGCATTAAATGCTGTACTCCTGAATGTGAGAGACCAAGCAGACAAGGAACAGGAGTTTAATCATGTCTTAGAGCCAGCCTTCGCTTTTATTTGGGAAATCACCGCTATAGTAGGAAAACAAATAAGTTTTCAGTGCATCAAACAATCACCAAATGATCTTCAGATGCCTCCTTTCCTAAAACAACAAAATGTGGTATTTGCAGCTACACAGATAGTCTAGGACTCTCTCCAAGTTGAGCAGAGACCTTGGGTGGCTGCTACTCCTATCAGGCGGAGTAAAGTGGAAAATGATGGAGATAACAGCAAATGTCTAAGCTTGATTTCAGCACTCTTTTGTTTGTATTTTAGAGGTGCAAGATAACCTCCTGTCCCCTTTGCTCTTTCCCCTCCAGGAACCCATGGAGAAATCAGGTTACTTGCTGAAAATGGGCAGCCAGGTGAAGATGTGGAAGAGACGATGGTTTGTTCTAAGAAACAGACAAATCATGTACTACAAGTCTCCGGTGAGTTGCTGGGGTAAATTTACTCCTGTGTAGAGGCACAGGGGAAGGTTGTCTGCAGAACCAGTTCCAGGCTGATACCACCAGTGGAGTGGACAGCCGTGGGCAGGCTTCCCCCAAAATGTCCTGCAAAAGAGCTTTATATCTGACCCCCAACAGATTCAACTGTGGGTCTCTGCTTAGGCAGGGAAGCTCCTTGTGGTGGCAGTTTCCAGGAGATGAAAGGTTGTTCACAAGGGCATAAGCTTGACACCTCCTGGTTAACTTTGTACAGATGATGAAAAGCCGAAGGCATACCATGGCCCAGCTTTGGTCGTGTTTAAGATGAAAATAAAGGAAAATTAAATTACAGTACCAGGAAAGTGTAGATATGTACTTGTCAGTCAGTGTGCAGGGCTCTGAGGAAAACTACAACTTTCAAGGGGAAGAAAGCTGGATTCTTTTGTTTTTCACCCTCCCACACAGACATGGAAGTACTAGAAAACTAGGGTAAAGTTGAAAATAAGCTTTCATGCAAAATGCTGTCTTACAGTGATCAGTGAAACAATATTGAGAGAGCATGTTTGTGCATTCAAACCTTTCCAAATATGTTTTGTAACTCAGAACTGCTTCAAATTAAATGAAATTATTTCAAAAATTCTAGCAGTATGCACTCAACATTTGTATATACAATAAAGTACATTTCTTATTGGCCTTCATTATTCTGCCGTATTTAGCTAGGTTACAGAGAGTTATATTTAGGGATTTCCACCTTCCATACTTTTTTGTTTTGGACACAGCCATTTCCTCCATACCTGCATAATTACACAGTATTTCTGTGTATGTACACATCATTGCTTACAAGTCAGGAATACTGAGAAGATTTATTCTACACTTTTTTTTTCAGTTGTCATATTCTAACAACACAAAAATATACCTTAGTGCACAGTGCATCTTTATTTCTGATACTAGGTTTATTCATCATAATTCACAAGCAAATTATACATATATATTTATGTATATAATATATATATACATAATTTAATAAATATGCAGACCTTAGACTATTGGTTGGAAGGGACTTCTGGAAGATCCTAGTCCAACTGACACACTGAAGAGGGACTGTCACCAGCTGTAGATCAAACCGCCCATGGCTTTGTCTAGCTGAACCTTGAAAAATTCCAAAGGTGGAAATTCAGCCGCTATCTGGGTACCTGCTGTATTTATTGCCTTCCCAGTGAGAAAGGGTTTGTTTCTGTTTGTTTTGCTTTGGGTTTTTTTTCCCCTAATGTCCAGTCTGAGTTTCCTGAGACAGTATTTGTCACCATTACCCTGTTATATTGTCTGCCAGTACTGAGAATACTTTTGCTTCAACTTTGCGATGGGATCGCACTGTCTCATATTTGACCTGGCAACCTTTAGCTGTCCTTTCCAGCTCATGAATGCAGACTCCAACCTGCATATGCATGTTATGCTGTATTTAAGTGCTCTAAGACCTGCCTATCTGAGTTTTTTTCCCCACTAAAATGTTGTTTGCTGCTCTTTCTTCAGAGTGACGTTATCCGCAAACCGCAAGGGCAGATGGAGCTGAATTCCTCCTGCCAAATTGTCAGAGGTGAAGGGTCCCAAACATTCCAGGTAAGCGTTGCTTTTTCATCCTGCAGATAACCACACACTCAGTGGCTGGGTAAGAGAGCACTTATTTCAGGCTGAATGGTACTGTATGTCTCAATTGATGAGCTGACTATCTGGCCTCTGTGTTTCTTGGAACAAGCCAGGCAGTTAGTTTAATAA